GGCTCATAGATATTCGTTATAGCTGTCTTTTTTTAATTACGTCAAAAGCGAGGAAAATTGTGCCAATTTATGTGGCAGTGTATATGTGGAAATAAAAGAATACACGCACAAAATAACACTCGTGATCGAATCAGCACATTTGTAAAAATAGTCAGACGCTTTCCTTTAACCCGAACAATTAATAAATAGCCATAAATTAGTATAATATGCAGTTTTTAATCTATCTTTTTTCATGATCTCTGTTACGCTAATTTTACAGCTATTTATTAATTGTTCAGGTTAAAAGAAAAAGTCCGGTTATTTTTACAAGTATGCTGAATCGATCACGAGTGTTATTTTGTGCGTATATTCTTTTATTTCCACATATATACCGTCATATAAATTGGCATGATTTTCCTCGCTTCTGACGTCATTAAAGAAGTATAGCCAAAGCGAATATTCAGGAGCCTTAAAAAATTTGTGTTACATTTTTAACATACTCATGTGTTATTTTAACATATTATTTTCATATTATCTCAGTATTTCATGTTGAATCGATATTCATCATCGTGTAAATATCAAAATAACACTTGTAACAACATATTTTATACTTCACAGTGTCGATTAACATATTAATTTTGTCATGGATGGATATTAATTTTGTGTTAATTTTTTACATAATATTCGTGTTATTTTTCAACATATTCACATTGTATTGAATCAATACAAAAATTTTCGTGGACCGTTTGGTGACATGTGAAATGTATTAAATCTAATTCTATCTACTAATCTAATAAAAAATTTTTTATCATGAATCTTTCCTTGATTCGATGTTTGGTTTCTTCGACATCTATAGCTAGCGATTTAAGCAAGGTGTGTTCGATCGAACGTCATTCGCTCCCAGCAGAACTCCGTACGCAGCTTCCGTTCTCCCGACTGTCTGGTAGACACAGTCTATGCAAACAATCGACGGAGGCAATTGCATGTGCACGTGCAGGGTACGCAGTTCGTAGGTGTGCGATAAAATGGACGGTCCGCGCGACGAAAAATTCCTTGTTCTATGGAGCGTCTATGGATCATCAGGCGGACTTTCAGAGAGAGAGAGAGAGAGAGAGAGAAAGAAAGGAAACTCGATTGCGAGACTCGACGCGGAATCACCGCTGCGCATTATTGACATCGGAGAAAACTTTTATTGTATCGCCGAGGCCGCGCTCTCGCGCGAGATTCTGCCTTTTCCAAGTTTCGTCACGTCCATCCGTCCGTCACGTTCGACCACAACAATGGCTCATTGATCATTGACGCATTAACCGTAGATCCCACGATCTAATTTGATGCGAGAACGCGTGTTGGTGAGCGCTTTTCGTCGGATCTCGCAGGTCGGTCTCAAATCAGAACTCAAGAATTACGCGGAGAGAGAGAGAGAGAAAGATGCGGAAACATCGCGGGACATACGGACGGCCAAGGGACGATTAACACGGAATCGATGACGGCGACCCGGTGTCGGTTTGTCTCGCACGCGAGCCGCCTGTGTCGCGAATACATGCGATCACACTCGCGGTGCAACAATCGCGCCGGTGCGTGTTCTGCCACGCGGCGTGTGTGTGCACGCGCTATCTCACATGCAGTTAGGACATCTCACACGGTCTCACACAAGAACGGATACCGTTCATCGAACGCACCGGCGACAGATACACACGCAGCAGCGCGCGTAGCACACTCATACACGTTCGCATACACGTACACTTGCCGATATTATCGGCCGTCTTTACGCGCCATATGCTGTGCACGAACACGCACACAGTCACGCACGCGGAGCCGCGGTATGCGTTCGCGCTCTCGGGAGAAGGACCCGCCAAGCTTTTTGCTCGGTCAAGTCGAACGATCCCGCTGTTTCAACAGCGGGAGATATACCGTTCGCCAAGCCGAACGTCTTTGCGGACCTGCGTGGGCCGCTCAAATTTCATCGGGGTATCGCGATACCCCTGGCCGTCTCGACGCGGCTACTGTTTGGTCATGAAAAATTTCTGTCTCGCGAGAGATCTTTTTAAAATCGTTGAGTCGCTTGAAAAAATTTGCTATATGAAACAAAAAACAATTAAGTCGGTGTAAATGAATTTTCCGTTCTGCCTGTAAATCAGATGAAAACTCGACTGTAGGAAGGGAAAGATTACTGCAGGAGGTTTCTATTCAGTCAATTGCTCTCAGTCTCAGCCGAGTTTTAACGTAACTGAATGTTCACACGAATTTTTTCAGTCATGGTAACAGAGTTATCATTTCTTATTACCGAGTTCTTATCTGATCCTTGTTGCTGAAACTGAATTTTTTTCGTATAGTTTTATGTAAGGTAAGGTGCTGTACCTTAGACATCATGTTGATTTCAGCACTTTATCCAGTGATTTTTTTACCTTATTCGTATGATAATTTATTGTGTTTACCGTCAGAATTCTTATCTATGGTGATAAATACAATGAGTTACCACATTAGCAAAGCGGAAAGATCATTAGATAGCGCTGAAATCAATATGGGTCCAAATAGGTAAAATAAGTCCAAGGTATGGAACCTTCCTCTATATGTGTGGGTATATATATATACAGTAGCTCCTGATAACGCGAGTTCTTACGCGCCAAAGATGACTACACTTTCATATAACGCGATTCTTCGTACAACTTTTTCTGGTTCATTGTTTTATCGGTTCATTGTTTTGTTTTTTGACACGATCATTCTTAATATAACGATAACGTAAAATATTTTTAATTTTTAAAACTTTAAAAAACAATACATACATTTATATAATTATATTTTTATTAAATTTCAATGAAATAAAAGATTTTTTTAGTTGGCATAGCAATATTTATTTCAAACATGTTACTTTGGATTATACGCGTTATGCCAGAAAAATTCTCGTACAGCACGATTTCCTATAACGCGAATTCATATAGCGCATAACGTATTAACCGCGTTATATGGAATTCTATTGTATACGAAGTCTGTTCAAAAAGTATCGCGAATTTTGTTTTTTCAAAAATTATTTATTTATTCATGAATATCTATTTTGTCTCCTTCAAAGTAATCCCCATCAGATATTATACACTTGTGCCAACGTTTTTTCCAATCCTCGAAGCACTTCAAAAAATCATTTTTTGTGATCTTGTTCAGCTCCTCCTTCGATGCCGTCTTTATCTCCTCAATCGTAGCGTAGCGTCGTCCTTTCATGTGCCTCTTCAGTTTCGGGAACAAGAAAAAGTCACAGGGGGCCAGGTCTNAAAAACTTCCCCTTTCCCCTCGGTTTTCGCACGAACACATCGACAAATTTCAGCAGGATTGTTGCTTGAGATCGAATGCGAGCTACCGTAGCTAAATAACGCATTTTTCGGTACGATCATATAAATTGGGACGATTATTGGTAGAGTGAGATCCGATAAAGGGGCGTACAGGTGTTCCTTCGATGTCGTACGCGCGCGCGTATATGTGTATATTTTATCCTTTTGTAAAGGCAGTCCTGCGTTATGGAGTCGGTATTATAATAATGGAAGGCGTCTGGCCGCAATACACTAAGTTTGTATTGAATGCAGCCTGCCTGATAAATATTAAACTAGGCGCGAGAACTCGCACTTTCCCACTCGATATCCGAGCGAGTTCCACATGCTTAATTCCATTCTAAACGAAATTTCTTAATACCCCCTGTTCCCCTTTTTCCTTTAAATATCTGTCGCGAGAATCAGCCGATTGCGCACATGAGATTATTTCGGCTACATTGGTATTGGGAGACAAATTAGTTCGGTCCATTTTTTTGTGATCAAAAATGCATTTATTTCAGAACAAAATGAATGAACAGATTAATCAAAGTATTGTCCATCGCTGGCTACTACTTTTTCCCTCCTCTCAGGCAATTTTCGAATTCCATCTCGAAAAATGTCTCGTCTTTTGAGGCGATCCAAGTTAGGGGCTAATTTTCGATTTCTACGAAAGAAGTGAACCGGTGACCTGCCAAATCGTGCTGCATCCGTCGGAACAACCAGTAATCAGAAGAAGCAATGTCCGAGCGTTTCCAAATAATTTTTTACGACTTTTGCGACATGAGGCCGAGCGTTATCATGCAGAAGAATAACTTTGTCATGTTTTTGCTCGTATTCCGGCCGTTTTTCTCGTACGGAAACTGCTTGTTGCGTAACTCTCAATAATTCTGCAAGCTCCTCTTGCGTTTGACTCGGATCTTCATCGAGTAATGCCTCCAATTCTTTGTATTCGAATTTTTTTGGCTGTCCAGAGCGAAGCTTGTCTTTAACGCTGAAATCACCATTCTTGAAACGTCGAAATCATTCCCTACATGATTTATTAGTTGGAGCATTGTCACCATAAAGTTCTACAAGCATTCGATGCGCTTCAGCTGCACTTTTCTTCCAATTAAAGCAGAAAACTAAAACCTTCCGCTAATGCTGCTTAGTTAACACAAAATTTGACATATTCAACATGGTTAAAAACAGGGGTTTTGTATGAAACTCAAAGCGATATAAACTGAATATTATTGACAGATGTCTAACCTCTCTGAAAGCACCGAAATCAGCTGTCACTATGAAACATTCATAACAGCCAGAGCCATCTTTTGAAAACGGACCGAATTAATTTGTATTCCCAATGGGGGTCGGATCAAAACTGTTGACAAAATTTTAGACGGTAAACAATTTTGCGTTACAATCGGTCCACTCAAATTTTGGCGTTACTTTAATAAGATAAATATGTTAATTCAATATATTTATGTATTTTCTAACATATTCCACAAGTAATACAAAAATTTAGGTGGATTGTAACACAAAATTTTTCACTGTACAAACTGCGACTGTCAACGAATATAAATTCTCTCAAAAGGAAGCAAAATATATTTTTCTTTTTTTATGAGGAACGAAAAGGGATTTCTCACGCGTATTTCACGATACTTCGGGTCGGCGATGGTGGTGGTTATTAATTGTATCCCGGTATTTCTGCGCTCAACTCGTGACTATTTCGTTTCGGTCTGCTTTCAGGGAACAGACAATAGCTTGAAAATGGGGTTGAGGCGACGACGTAACAAACTGTGCGGGACATCGACGAAGTAATCAGATCCCGTGAAACCGAAGAAAATGATGACTGCCATGGCCCGGTTGCCTTGCAAGCAATCATCGCCCTCGCAGCAGCCGAGAGTGAATAATTTCGGAAACAGCCGGAATCCTTACTGGGACATGCAGGCCAGGCATCCTGCACCGCCGTACGTCAGGAATCACCATCGGCATACCGATCATACAGGTGAGGGAACAGCCGCGAATCGCATTGCGCATCGCATCGCGAATCAATGCGTCAAGGCATCCTCGAAGTTGCGTGCTCACTCGAGGAAAAAAAAGCACAGTAGTTTCGAGTCGTTCGCGTTTCTATCAGATGGGACGATGTGCGTCTGACTTGTGAATTCACCGACCAATGACTGGTGAATATCTGTTTGCCTCTATGCGTCATTCGTCATCTAAAGTAATGTAACAGAAGTATAGTACGAGCGTGTATATTTCTTTTCTTTTTTTTTTCTTACGAGTAATGTGTGTGTGATTGATTGTAATTCTGCCAAAAATAAAAGCAAGAATCAATCGATCATACTTTTTCAGACTGCACAGTATAGTTCATCCGATATCACTTCAGGTTTGATGTCCTCTTTCAATTAGCGATGTTAAATAATAGACAGAGATTAACATTTTTTGGATTTTATCAAATTCCTTTATCGAATTTCTTTTAAAATAAATTTCTCTTTTAGAATAGAGCAAACAAATGAATATTTTCAATAAACGGGACACTGAGCTAAACGGGATATTAAACATATTTCTTCTGTATTTTCATCCACACATTACAACGGTTGTCGCAAGCAATAAATTATTTGAAAAAAGTAACGCTATATTACAAAAATATTAAAGAATTTCTTTATTTCAGTGGAACAATACTTAATATATAATGAAATAAATTTTTTTATCGGAAACGAAATATTACTTCTGCTAAATAAATATTATTTTCTCTATCAAGCAACATAATTTACTCTAGTGAAACAACACTTTCATTCACATAAAATAATATTTGATATTAACCCCTTAACATATAATATCGTGTGAAACTCGTGGTAAGGAATTCGGACCAAACATAAGAAACACAAATCAGGCTTGTGATGCATAGATTGGGCCAAACGTAAACAACATGAGTCAGACTCGTGGTTTACGTTTTTGCAGATGCCTTTCCATTGCGCTTATATGTTAGTCTTTATGTTAGACCATATTTGCACATGCAAATATATTTTCTTAAATGTATTTTTAAAAAATCCGTATATAATATCTTCAAAAAGGAAATTTAATAGTTTCGGCGCACGGCCGAACAGCTAAATGGCTCAACGTGTAACTGACCTTGCTATTGATTGCGACACGCGCCGTCGAGACTTAAATCGTAGCACAAGGGGTTAAATTATGTTGTTTATATTAAGCAAATTTAAGTAACACACATATATATTAAATCTAAATAAATATTTTTTTCTGTGTAGGTAATACGCTCAGATTATACAGTTTATTATATTCCGATGAAGCATTATAATGTCCCATTCGGTACGGCAAGAGAACTTTTACGAAAATTCGGCTTATCTTTGTCATTAACGTTCTATTGTGAGAGACCATTGTGAGAGACTGTGTCACATCCGATTAAGGACGAATGCCGATAGCCCGATAACCTCGTTTCAATGATTTATAGCGAATGCAATGTCGCGATTCGAGCCAACAAATTCAACGCGTCGAGATAACTTGTCGTAAATGTAAATACTGCGCGATATCAATCCATGATCTCGAAGATCGCGGCACACCGCGATTTTTCTTCATCACGAAGCCTTTCAGCGCGAAAGGGATAGATAAGAATCATCACCTGATGTTCGATTCGTACGAAATATTCTTATAACGGGATGAGATAGCAAAAGAAGAGTCACGCGAGAGAGAGAGAGAGATATTTATTCTACTCTGAGAAACGTTCTCCTTGGGATCTATAATACAAGTACAAGAAATTTTTGGACGAAGGTTTGTGAGCACGAACATCCACCAAACTTACAAAACACTATTACGTTAGTATCATTCTAGAATCGTAGTAGTCATTCTATATAATGCTCTTTGAACTATAAATAATGAACATAGAGATCATTTCAATACTGCAAAAATTTATATAATCATTATTATAATTTCCATTATTAACTTTCCATTAACTGTAAAATAATCGAAAAGTCATATTTGAACGAATATAATGAGATTGTAGCATGTGAGAACTTACTAAATATAGAAACTTTCTATGCAACATGCGTGTGTAAAATTTAAAGAATTTACCAGACACTCACAAACAAAAAGTTTATGCTAGTCAGTCCAAGACTAAAATGATAGTTTAAAACAAAAGTAAAAACTGAAAATAAGATTTAAACCAACCTACTGAAACTAAAACTAGAAGTGGAAATGTAACGGCCGGATCCTAGCCCCAATCAAGTGAGTAAGGATGGATAAGGAAGATATAATAATTAAAATAAGAGAGAGAAAAAGAGAGAGAGAGGGAAAAGGAACTACGGTTATCACTCGGGTCGCAAATTATGTCGCTACTATAAGCCCGAGGTTGCCGCTCCTCTGAGATTATCGAGCGGATAGAAGGAATATGTCTCACGCGTGTAATTTTATCAAGCAGGCGATCGACCGTCCCTATTTACAAGGAGTTCTACTTGCAAATTAAATGACATTGATTTATCCCATCGTATAGAAATCTCCATCGCACTACTGTTACTATTGTTACTACTTACTGTATTTCGTACGTTACATCGTAAACCTGGTACAAAGTCGTGAATTAATTGGTCTGTTCTTTTTAACTGAACTGATCGCACTAGTTCAAGAAATTCATGTACACATTGAAGCGTATGAAGCTTATGTACGAGATTATCACGCTTCAGTATGCGTTTCTTCAACTAGTAGTGCAACCAATTTTCGAGTTGAAATGTTAGTCCTATTTTAAGTCTAATTTAGTTCTATATTAAGTGTTCAAAAGTCTTCTATCGTGTTCCTTCGGTGCTATAAATGGGGAAGTTTTCTCCATTTGAAGACTTAATATAGAACTAAAATATAGAACTTAATATAGAACTAAAATCTAGACTCTGAAAGACTAAATTCCCTTGGTAACATTAAAGGAGCACTTACCGCGCTCCTTTGATGCTACAAGTGGAAACTTATTCTCGTTTTTTCCACTTGAAGACTTAACGTAAAATTAAAAATTTCGACTCGGGCTCTACTAAGAAGAATAGATCAAATGCTATCCTATTTCTTGGTATAATGATATAGAAAAATTGCGAATTAGGCGCATCATTTCTGAATATTCGTGCATTATGACCGCTACTTTGGAGCATCCTTGCCGGTTCACAAAATAATCAGCAGTCATGATAGACGGATATTCAGGTGTGATATTCTTGATTCGAAATTTCCGATATCCGGGAATAGGACAGCATTAGTACGACATTGTACGGTTGAACGGTCGATGAAGAAAGCAATCGCTGCTCCGTCGACGAGCGTGAAACCATCGAAAGTCCGTCTGCTTTTTGTGCTCTACTGCCGGACATGTGAGATTTCGCCATGTGTGCACACGCATACGCAGCCTTGACGTAGCTCTTCTTTCTCACCCGGGCTTCTTCTCTTCTCTCCCTTTTTTTCTTTTTATATCGCCATCGTGTCCCCGCTATTATCACAGTCGGCGGTGGTTGTTCTCTCTCCGGGAAGAGAAGTGCCGATATCTGTTCTCGCCGCAGCTATTCTCCGCGGGGAAATGTGCGTGTCGGCGGACACATGTGTCGTCAATCTGGCAGCTCGTGCGAGCGCGAGAATCCGCGAAAACAGACGCGGAGAGGAGAAAAAGACACAGATGCTGACGGCGTTCCTCGTCGTTAACACTTGTCCTCAGCTCGCAGTACGTTGCCATAGCACTTGCGTGCGGATATAGACAGGCGCACGTGTGTGACCCCGCGATGACGTGGTCGGTTGAAGATGCCAGTAGGATGTATCATGTAACGAAATACGCGGGAAAAAATATATTAGGTCATTAAATATGAAATGTCCGATTACCTCATGTACCAAGTTTGATACCCGATATCTCTGATATTTCATTTTGACAGTTCTTTGTTTTTTTTTTTATTGTGAAGATATGTCATCAGCCTTTCAGACGCACGTTTTGGTTTGTGATTATCTGTCGAATTGCCTTTTGCAGATTAAATTTTGTAAACCATGGATAAGACAAAAATTCGTGTTATTTTCGAATATGAGTTCCGTCATGGACCTAATGCAACGCTGACAACTTGAAGTGTCAACGAAGTGTTTGGCAAGGATGTGGCTAATGAACGCACAGTACGTCGATGGTTTGAGAAATTCCGATCTGGCGATTTTGATCTTCAAAATGAACCACGTGGGCGACCTGAGAGCAAAGTGGTTAATGATGAACTGAAAGCTGCAGTGGAAGCGGATACATTTCAAACTACGCGTGAATTAGCAGCAAGGTTTGACGTTACTATTCCAACAATATTAAACCATTTGAAGCAAATCGGTAAGGCTAAGAAGCTGGATAGATGGGTTCCGCATGAATTAAATGAGCGTCAGAAAAGAAATTATTTCGAAGCTTGCTTTTCTTTGCTGTCGCGACATAAAGGCGAACCATTTTTACGCCGCATTGTTACGTGTGATGAAAAATGGATTCTTTTTGACAATCGCAAACATATTTTGCTTAATTAGAATCGATAAATATTAAAGTGTTGTTCGAAGGTAACACAGATGTCGTTCGATGTTGAGTTCTCTCTCTCTCTCTCTCTCTCTTTTTTTCCCTTTTTACAACAACATTGAGCTCATACATATCGAGAGTATATGGTTTGCGGAGTTACGCGAAATGATTTCACCAAATTGCCAATTAGTATAAGTAAGATTGCACGAAAGCGTTCTAATTGGCGGCAAGATCTTCTTTTGCATACGATAACTAGCATCCAGTACATCCCACATTAGCACTTTGCCGCGTTTCTTAACAAGTCTCGAATTGAATATTAAACATTATATCTTTCCACTAGCAATTATTCGGAACAATGAATATTTTACTTTCACCGCGTTGCCCTGATCGATCATACATTTCCATGCGAGCGTCGCCGGAATTTACGCGTTGTTTCTAAATGAACGTAAATGAACATAAATCACCGATAACGATTTTATAACGACGTTATAATGAGAGAGGGTTTTGGTACGAATTTTCGACAACGGCATAAATCGATTTCGTCTGAGCCGAGGCATCCTCAACTAAGGAAACGCGACATTTCCGGCACACCCAGTAAGTTCATCGTAAACGTGAAGATCAAAAGCTCTATCGAGAGAGCTAATATTCTAAAAAGCTAGCCAGCCCGGTTTCATGAGTTCTCAGTGTGATGGCTGGGTGGAGCAGTACGTGCGGTGTGTGTTGTGCCGTCGCGTACGTGATGTTAACCGACCGACCAACCGGGTGAAGAAAGACGGAGAGATCTGTCGGTTCTGTCGGATGTCTGGCCAGAAGTAGTATTTCCTTTCAGAGGAAGCGGATTATTTACGTCAGTCGCTCGCTCGCTCACGGTTCCGTTTTTTTTCACGTGTGTCGCAGGGAAGCGGAAGAGCGCGGTGGAGCTGCTGCAGGAGACGAAAGCCTTTTACGTGAAGAGCGAGACCGTGCTGGATCGGAAGCAGGAGCTGAAGAACAGCGGCCACTTACAGGTCTCACAGCTGAGCGCACCGGGCGCGCCACCTAGATTGCTGCGGAAATGCGCCGGCAACTCGTCTACTTGCCCCATGCAGCCGACATCACCGTCGCAGATGCCGAGCCCGTTAACGCCGCCCTGCTGCTGGGCCTCGTGTCATGAACAGGACAGACGTAAGTTGTCCATAACACGCGAGAAATCCCATAAGCCCGATGGGACGTACAATCCCGACGTTTACCCGGGGGTACAAGGCGAATCCAGTCGTAAAGGGTTGTAACTCCGTTCCGGGAGAAGCCCGGCCGGGATTCGAAGTCCTTTCTCTTTTATCGAGTCGCTGGGAGAAAACTGGTTATCAATATCGTACTTGATGATTTTCAAAGCGAGCGAAAGAGTTGTGCCTCGCGATAATGCCGTCGTTCAGGTAAAAGTCTCTTTTCCGCGATGTAGTGTATCCAATGGGATCTCAGTAAACATCAACTAACAGTAATATTCCATCAATATAATTATAATTTTATAATTTCTTCTAAAAGTTATAATTTCCCATTCAACAATGTAAGTACAATATATATATATATATATATATATATNGTTTCAGATAAAAGTTGTAAAATTTTATGAGAGGCATAAAATCATAATGTTATTACTTAAGTAGCAAAAAAGGCAATTTTTCACAAAAACCATTTCTTCTCGTTTTTTCAGATTAGAAAAAATGGTTTTTTAACGATTTAAAAAATATAGTAATATATGTTGTATGTAAGAGTTACGTCGTTGAATGAGAAATTATCATTGATATAATGTTACTGTTAGTTGGTGTTTACTGGAATTGAATTTGACGTAATTTATATATATATATTTATTTATTTATTTATTTATTTATTTATTTATTTATCTCGAAAATAAGACTGTTTGCCGTCCGCTTCGATTGAGTCAAATATCGCCAACCTTCTATTATCATCAATTTATGCACCACGAACATTGTATATGCCATCATTGCGTAAGTAAAGCGGCGCACAATTGTAAAGCTGTTGTTGTTGCAGTAGATGGGATTCTGAGCCCTCAACAAACACTGCCACCCGCCCTGCCACCGAAAAGTCCGCGTTTGGTTCCGGTTCCCCAAAGGCGGACGATTTCAGGCCCCCCGAGCGGTACCGGGGGCGACCAGTTGCAAACAAAGCTACGCCGGCTATTAAACACCGACAGCAAAGAGAATGTATTCTTTCCGGACAGTCCGACGCAAGCCACGGCACAGACCAACGGCGTACCGCGAGAAGAGAAATTCCGATACTCGCCCGGAAGTCTCTCGCCCGCTTGCCGAGATGAGGATCGTGTGCTGGTGAGGAAATCGCGATATTGATCTTTATTCCTTGTGTCGTAGTGCCATTATCACACTTATTTTCTCGCAGTCATGTCTATTTTGCTAAAATAAATAAAGTTGCGCGAAAAATCCCAGCGTGATATATCACAGCAATATGTTTGAAGTGATACTTGAAAAATTTTAGTGTTTTTTTTACTGCAATTTAATATTTCGAATATAGTTTCGAAGGTTCGCAAAAACCGAGGGTTTTCTCTTTTTTCCGTGGATTTCTTCGGTTTTTGTCCCAAGAGTGAAAAATTTATTTAGAAAAGTTCACATGTATTCCGCTAAAACCTGCCACATTTGCATTTACTTTTTTCCCGTAAAGGAGATGAGGAGATCTGTGAAAACATGGAGAAAAAGCCAGTTTTTCTCAAGCTTTCAATATAATTTCGAGCGTTTTATTAATCTTTCTTCTTTCACGTTATTGCAACAAGCATATTGTCAATGAGCTGCTTCATATAAAGCGATTATTATCGACGTGATATTTAAAATTACCACCATATGATACAGTGAGCGTGCATGCGCTTACGTCCTGCAGTTTTGCTGCTTTTTATCGAGAAATCTCTCTCACGCTTCCCTCTCCATCCCCTTTCCCCCCCCCCCCATTAATAAACTGTCGCATTGATTATATACCGTTGCGTTATTTGTTTTCCGCAGCATTGCGCGCCGCAAGATGTTCGCTTCAAATTCGGCAGAAGCAACTCGCACTCTCATACGTCCGGCAGGTCCGGCAGAAAATCAAACAGCTCGCAGTCGGTGGAGAACACGATATGCCACAAGTCCTTGCCCGACCTGCACACGAGCACGCGCCGCCGGGCGTCACTCTCGCCGCGCGCCTCCACCAAATTACTCATCAAACAGTCCGGTCATCATCAAGCTGCGAACAATTGCCCAGACTGCGAAACTAGTTCAGATTATTCGGATCACAGTTTTAAGCGTGACGCCGTTTGTTACCGCAGGTGAGGCACGCGCGACAAGCTTGGCCTTGATGTTCAGCGTTAAAATGCGTTGAAATCTTGACACGTTCACATTGCGTGCGCAGTGCGGTGTGAACGTTTCGAAGAAAAAGGGAGACAATGAATAATAATAAACGTAATCACGAATCTTCCTTATCAATTTCAGTTCCCGGCATATCAGGCGATCTCTGGGATCTGGCGGCGGTGATGCGAGCAGCGTGTTATCCTCTGGTGGACGGACACAAAAGTCATCGGGTTCCAGTAAGTTAAGCCACGGGGCGACAGCAAGGGACTCGGGCGGCTCCTCCGGGCATTGCACCCACCGCAGCGAACCAGCTCCCAGGATACAGGTACAGGACCGGCTGATCTCCAGAGGAGTGTACGCATTTTAAACGCGTAATTCTACCCAATCTCTTCGTAACTGTCTGTTTCCATTGGGATCAGGATTGCTGGAGTCACATACGCAGAGACAGCGGCGCGTCTACGCAACATTCCACGGAGAAGGATCGGTCGAGGAAAGGCAGTTACGTTGGCGGTACACCGCCGTCTGTTGTCAGACATTACAGTCCGGATTCTGAGAGCAGCAACAGTCAAACGGACTACAGTCCGACTTGTAATTCGAGGTATTCAGGCGTTCTTGCTTTTTCAATTATACCGATGAGTCTGTGTGAAACTCGAGAATGCGGGTGTCAAGTGCCGTCTCGGCGTTATCTAGCTAGAAACGAAATTGACAATACGACAATACGACATGATGATTCAGACAATAAATAATTAGGGGAAAATATACAGTGATTGGCGGAGGCACAATAATTAGCATATCGGCATATTTAAACGCAAAACAAACCAACTACTATCATCAACACTACTATCATCGAACGTGCAGCTGTGATGATAAGGGAGAAAGTGGTCCATCGAGGAGCAATTGGTTAAGTTGCAGTGTTGATTAACTCATTAGGTGGCAATCAGAAGCAGCTACTGATATTTGGTTGTATGTGTGTGTGTGCATGTATGGACAATGCATTTGCTAATTCGTTTAGCAATGTAACTTAAATATTGAGTTTCAATCATTAATTGGTTCTAAATTGTCGTTTGACATATTTCTTTATTAATATAATTTATGTTTCTAATGAGTGCTAATCGCTGTGATAAAGTATGCCAATTATTATGACCATGAGTGCCAATTACTGGGATTTTCGTTACAGTTTCGTTACATATATCAGTTCGATATTTTATTTTGAGCAGGATATATTTTACTGTTTCAATATAACTATGCATTCTTGTAGCGTAGAATCTTGACTAAATTTTATTAGAAAAAAAAAAGAATTCTACACAAGTGTCAGTTTCACATCAAGAAGCAGCTTACAATAGAAATGTATCCTAAAACTGCCAATCACTGTATATCTTCTTCTATCTCAGTATCGTTGTATAATGTTCATAATAATATAATAATATAATAATACTATGACAATGGGTTAGGTTTTCGGACGGTTGGAAAGAAGGTCGCGGCCGGCCGATTCTAAGATCCAAATCCGACATCAGCGACCGATATTGGCGTCAGGACAACGGCCGTTCCAGCAAATTATCCTCCCGGCCGCCACGATCGGTCACTCAACTTGAGAACTTCTTCGACCGTTTAGGGCTGGACTCTGATAACTATCAACGTATCACGGAACCCGACTCGAAGTCGTCGTCGCCCGTGTTCTTCGACAGCGTCAGTTCCGTAGATTCGGCGTTGGGTCTTTACTCGTGGGTAGGTAATAATCAGACGAATCAGGGCAGCCAGTGGCAGAACAATAACTGCAGCATCGGCATGGGTAACGACGAGTGTAACCAAAGGGTAAACGATCCGCCGAGTATCGTCGAGCGCAACGCACGTATTATCAAATGGCTTTGCCAGTGCCGCAAAGTACAGTTTGGATACAGTTAAACAACGAGTTGTCCCCCACCCCCTCCAACATGAGTAATCTCTATTGTTTCTGATAACGTATGTTTAAATCAACGAGGTGGTAGAGTGGCTGTTCGTTCTACAAACAGATATATATATATCTGATATTGCAGGAATTATACGGATTCACTTGTTTCTCGTAAATATGGAATTGATCGATGTTTTTCTATCCTCCTTTGGACTATACTCACATAATTTAAGTCGTTTAGAAATCTTGATCGTTTTTATATTTAGAGTTGTTATTATAAAAGTACGATTATTGCCGTTTTAATTTATTGCGTTTAACGATAAAGATGAGTCTGTGCCATTTTACAATTACTTCTTGTTACAGTTATATGTTGTGCCTTTCCTCGAATTGTTGTCATAAATTCAGAGTGAAGTTTTTCTTAATATTTTCGCGTAATATGCAGAGAGTTATCGCGTTTAACTTTTACGTTAAAAAAAATCTTTAGAAGAAAGTTTGGGTAAAGTCGAACATATTTTTGAGGGCACATTTATAAATTCTTGTTTATATATATAACGTTTTTTTCTGCGGACGAATTCGTTATTGCGGTTTGACATTATTAATCTTGCAATAAGTTTACGATATGTTACACACGCGGTAATTTTTCCTATTTAGCAAAGCAATATTAGATTACTACACACCATAACTGACGTTTCCGCAGTAAAAAGTGTAAATTTCATTGCATTTTGACGTAATAAGATATAAATTCAGCGAGGTATTTCTCTCGTCTCCAGTCTCAAGAATGATGATATTTGATTTGTGGTAAAAGTATTCGCATGAAAGATATTCATCTCGACTTTATGAAAGCTCTCATAGATCTAATTTCATAAGGGAAAAAGATTTAAAAATGTTGCCTTTACTTGTTGGTTTCTATAAGAACCACGTATATTTAAAGTGAAATAAAAGTTCAATTTTGATGTTAATAATTCGTGAAATTTAGAAGACGATCGATAAGTTATGCAAATAGTTCGGTGTTAAACGAATAGAACAGAAGTATGATTCCAATTTGGTAGTTTAGTAGGAATTGATGTGATTTACATTAATGCCGTGTATAAAATAAAACGCTCATTCATCATTCTATTTTAATAATAATCTACAAAGGTTCGCGCTAGCTTCACCATATTCACCCTTTCGCCCATCATTTTTCGTTCTAGTATTATACAACGTAAATCATATAAAAAGATACATAGTAAATGTCTATTTTCTGAATTTTCTTGAGAGTGATCTAATGATACGCTATATATTTACAAAGACTATATGAACTCTATAAATGACGTTAGCTCGAATATACTAATCTGACGAGTGTAATCCTTTGCTGTTTCACTGCACTTTCGTAATAGGAGGTGTTTAAAAATATTCTCTACATTAATATTCAAACATTTAATTGTACGAGTTTCGTTAATTGTTTTTTTTTTACATCAAAAATTAACTGAATGTACATTGCTCATTTATCGCGCGAAAATAATCAGACCAATGTGAGAGTGTGTTTTTCACTAAACGACTCGAGACCGCAAAGGGTTAGTCTCGTTTCTATAGTTTTTCCAGTTATTGCACAGAGATTCATTGTACTTACGAGAGAATATGTAATGCGGACTATGGTGCATTGATAATTGCAAGATAACTAATTATTTGGCGGTTGAATAGGAAATTTGATTATTTCAATCAATTTTTCGTACTTTGCGTTTCTAAAGTATCGCAGTAAAATATATTTGGATAATGAAATAATATATACATATACATTTTTATTATGGCAGTTGTACTTATAACTTTTTGGTTAATTAATTTTTATCATGTATATTTTTACATATGTGTATCTAATATTTTTTTATTATGCACTTATAACGCATGTGATGGCGAAGCACATTTAAAAAGGTGTAATCTCTCTCACATACTTCTGTGCACACGTGTACGTTTACGGAAATTTGCGCGATCGATCGCGAAATATAGAGACACAAATGTGCTAAAATATAAAATGACATATACACACATATAATTATCTTACGAATATGAAGATTCGTCGTCTGCATTGCCTATCTCTTTATTTCTCGTTAAGAGCGCTTCTCACACGACAAACAATGTGCAATAACAAATGTAATCTTTATTCACATCTAATTCACGTAGAATTTCATCACTAATTTCGCTGAACCATTTTGTTCTCCCTACTCTGTGGCAATCAAATAATAGTATAGGAAGAAGTTCAAATGTTTACAAAAGATGTTACACAATTATGTGATTCATATATTCTTATATAACACACGATTTTTATGTAACATAAAACAGAATTATTCTCGACCTTCTCTCTAATTTCAGGTGGTATGGATGTTTTAAATGTATAATTAATGATTTCACGTAGTTCATAATTAAAGTATGGATACAGCGTTTCAATAAAACGGGGAGAGAGAGAGAACCGTTATCTATCTATATAATAAAATCTCATTTTCTTTTCGAACAAGCAGTTGAATGAATCCTTATATACGAGATGTCTCGGGCACTTTATGTCGACTATAGACACCAGGTGTCAAATTATATAAAAATCAAGATAGATCTGTTTTACCATCGAAAAGTTAATAGTGGCTGAGTTGTATACACTTAGTTTCAATATGGCTTGGACATCTTTTTTCCCCATGCAGTTTGAAATATATCCGATGGTCCAATGGAGGGAACTTCTGAGAATGAACACAAACCAAGGTCTGTTCGTTTTCGCTGTACCGCTGAACTAGTGCAATAAGTTGAAGTGAGAAAATATATACTTGTCTCGCTTCAACTTATTGCACTAGTTCAGCGGTGCAGCGAAAACGAACAGACCTCAAGTCTCTCATTGAACCATTGAACCACTGGCGCATTTCAAAACTGCAACAAAACAAACGGTGTTCAACTATTTTGAAGCCAAGAGTACAAATAGTTAAAAGTAACAGGATTTTGGATTGAATTTTGAATCTTTTATTTCAGACTTAGTTATTAAAATATTTAATATTGAAGATTGAGAAAGTGCACACGTCACATAAAAGGGATGATATTTAAAATTGCAAAGAATTTCAAGTTGAAAACAACTTCGCGATGTCTGAGACACTTAGTGTATAAGGCATTAGAGATATATTGGCATAACAATAGTAATATAATAACTAGCGTTTATTATACTTGCAATTTCCGACGAGGACATATAAAGAATTTATAAAGTTTATAATCGCCAGTAGTCAATTGTAAAGCGTTATTGCACAAAATTAGACATGCGACAAAAACATATGCTTCTATAGTGTATACATAATATTTCCTAAATTTTGGAGCCGTACAATTTTATTTTTTATGATAGAAAGAATGTCTAGATATAGCATTATGCGTTTGTACACATTTTAGGGTTAACGTCGTGGAGCTGAACTTATTGGAACTCGCAGAGAGAGAGAGAGAGAGAGAGAGAGAGAGAGAGAGAGAGAGAGAGAGAGTATCATACACAGAAGACTAATTTTATAAGAAATGTGGAATTTCTTATATTGACTTAAGTTGTAATTGATTTTTATACCAATTTGTATAATAGAATGAAATTCCACTATATATATTCTTTGTGAATTATCATTTCCGCATTTTAAATCTGAACAAAGATATTTGAAGGGGCAAAAAAAAAGTGTATATATATATATATACACTTTTTTTTTCATCGTCCCTGCCCCTTCAAATATATATATATATATATAAAACTAAATATTTAACACGTATGTTCATAATATATATATTTTTCATTATATATTAAATAATCAATTGGGAAGAAAAAGAAATGATCATTCTCTTTGTATATTTTTCAGTATTTACGGCTATATCTGGTCTACGTTTAAGAATTAGTCATTATTGCCTTATCTTACATGTTTTCGTAGATAATACTCTGCTTTACGTTGTTCATTGTATATTTTAACGAATTGTTGCAGTTTCCTGCTGTGTATTTTTTAATACGTGTAAAGAATCTCGAGAAGTATAAATATCAAAACGAATATACTTCACGTATTATAGAGGCATGGGGAAAATTAAATAATAATTGTGAAGGAATTTGTATAAAGTAAGACACTTAAATTTTTCGCCTCGATTCTCTTAATCTTTCTCTCAAGCAAGTTACATATTTAATACGTCTCCGTGTTACAGATTATTGTGAAAATCCTTTAATATTTCGTCGTATCGAGGCTTGAGTATTTTTGTATATGTGTAAGAATAAAAATGAATTGAAGCTCCTTTTGTAAACTTAGATAAGAGTGCGCACCTACATTATGAAATTTTAGTGTATCTATACATAATTTGTGATGCATAATATTTAATATTGTTAAATCCATGAATTTTTTAAATTGCTTTTATAATCTAGTCATGTAGAACGAAATATATATGTTAAACTTCAAAATAATATTAAATTCCTTCTATAATTATAAAACTTTTTACTTATTTGCCCTCTGCAAATCTCATATTTTCATTGAAGTTAAAACCGGAGAATTTTCAATATGCGCATCGATTGATAATCAATACATTTCAAAAATCGAAGTGCATGATTTTCGAAGCATCCTGTAATAATTAAATTTTATTTTTATATTTAATACATTTATTTTACGGAGTTTGGAGAACTTGCACAGGCAACTTCATATTTTTTTTGTACATGATTGTGTAAAACACACTTGGCTCGATAATGTAAAATAGAAAAAAAAAACGCTGTTATATATATGTATGTGATATTGTTGAGAGATCATTGCGTCACACGTGTGACGTTGGCAGAGAACATTATTCCTAATGAACGATCTTTAAGCTTTGTCTACAATGTGCTCTTTGCGTCGTGTTTTTTGCTTTATCTTTTTTTTCCGTAAGTAAATAGAAGTTCTTACAAAAAAAGAGAGAGTAAGAAATAAGATACAAAGAATACACTGTAGACCAAATTTAAGAACTCCTATTTATTTATGGAAAAGAGGTAGAGAACAAGAAACCATGAGCATATTGTAAATCAGGCTTTAGTGGTTCTTCAGACCCGTTATTTTTATCAGTTCCAAAACTTCCGTTAGAGCCGCCACTGTCTCTAATGAAAAATGAAGTAGTAGTACGACTCAACGATAGGGTAGTCGAGCTTTTCGTTTTCAAGTAATACATTCAACAATAAGTCGGATGACTTTTTATTTTTAATTATTATTTTCAACATGTACGACTAAACTACAAGTGGAGAATTTTTGTATTTTTAATTACTATATTTTAAAAGCGAATCAAGGATTTTTTATTTTTTACTTGTACTACAAGATATCGTGTCAAATGAATTTTTTTCATTTTTCAGTAGTGCAACAGCTGGACAGCAGATCAGACAAATCGTTTTCTCTATTTACTAACGAAAAATTAAAATTCTGAGAGAAAAAAGAAGAGTCAAGCATCGTTTGATCGGTCGTATATCTTGGATTACCGCGTGATTCGTGGTTGTAATGTGCGTCTGAGAGTGCAGTGTCGGTGTGTGCTTGTAGTGATCGGTAGTGATGTGGAAGTTTACAATAGTGAAAATATGACGAAAATAAGCCCGCTCACGAATGTATTATTTCTACTCATTGCAATAGCGTCCTGTGCAATACCACGATGCTTCGCCGCCCTATCCGACAAACAATTATGTTACGACCCCAATTGCTCGGGTAATTGAAGCCATACTTTAGCTTTAGAACCCATAATTTCGCCCTCTGCACGCACACGACATGCATTATATTTGCATTATATTGCTTTCCTTTTCCTACTTTAGAAGTGATATCTTTGGCCAAAACGGTACTCGCTTACAGAGCAAATGATCATGAAGTAATGTCATTTGGCGTCAATGAAAATGTCAAAGTTTTTAGCAAAGGAGCCGGAAAAAGAACCGATTTATGGGGTGTCGAGGTATACTTTGTTGTCTTCTATTTTGAGTATTATTGGATTCATTTGGTCTGTTCTTTATAGTTGTAGTGCTGAACTGGTACAATAAGTTGAGATGGGAAAGCAGCTTGTTTTGCTTTAATGTATTGCATTAGTTGAACAGTGCAGCTATAAAGAACAGACCAATTTTGTGTGTGTGTGTGTGTGTGTGTGTGTGTGTGTGTGATTATAGCATTATTATATATTTATTTCCTGTTAATATTCATTATCATGTAATTTAAACTGATACTTCTGATTTTATTCTAAGAACACAATCTCTGCATATTTAAATTATTTTTCCAGATAAATGGTAAACGTGGCTTTGCACCTAAGACATTTTTAAATGAATACAAAGTCCTACAACGTAATTTGTTGCATGAAGTGCCTGTTTACAAGTTTACTGATGAAGTCAAAGACAAAGTTCAAGCCAAAACTAGAAAAATACATAAAGCACATCCTGTTTTAAAAGATGAGGTGTCTCATGGTGACAATAAGACACTGTTTTCTTTAGCGAAGCCTTTAAATAAAAATATGCAGGAAGATAATTTTGAAACTAAAAAACTGGAATCTGCAGAGGAAATACATGAGATACATTCTTTTATGAAAGATAACTTATCCCGTGACAAGAATAAGCCACCGTCATTGTTGGCGCAAGCAGCGGATAAAACTGTACCAGAAATTGAAACAGCTAATGTAGATAATATTTCACCTTCTTACGAAGTGTTAGATGGTACTACATTTTATTTTGATAGTAAACCATCCATACAGCAAAATCTTGCAACTAAGACTATGCATGCTACTGCATTACCAAATGAACAAGCTTCACTTCCTCCTACCAATCTAGATTCTGACGATGGTGACAAAACTCTATTTACTAATGAAAAAGAAAATACAAACGATTTCGACAATAAACCTGAGGAATTCAAATTGCCAGTAGATATTCCTGAAGAAACTAATATCAAAACACTGTTAGAGAATTCAGAAACAATAATCGATCCAATTGTAAATACAGTGAGTAAGGATGAGCCATCTCGAGATCCAGAAAATGGAGTAAAATCAGTGGACAGCAGTACTGAGGATAGTACAGAATATAAAAAGGAAGAATCTACTGAAGATATTGAAGACGAAGGCATATTTGCTTCAATTGCGAGAAAGTTCAACATTTTATCGGATTCCTTAGAAACTGCAACGGCAGAAGGTACCATCAGCCAAAACGGCAATGACATGTTTACTTCTGAAATTACCAGTGAGAGTAAAACCAGAACCGAAAGAAATATCCCAGCTACTAAAACACTATTGAGCATAGATCCAAGTATTACGAATAAAGATGATACAGAAATACAGCGAGAAAATATACGCGAGAGTATTCAGAGTACGATCATTTCTAAAGAAGAGGTAAAGTCAGAGGAGGAAACGATCACAATTCGTTTGGAAAATGCTGCATCTCGTGATGTGCCTTTATCCAGTAATTTTGTATATGAAGATGTTTATAAGCCTACCCCAGATGTAGCACCTTTAATTTTAGTGAATAATATCTCTGCTTCTAATGAAGCTGATATTAGTAGTTATGTTGAAAATATCAAAATACAGGAAGCAAGTATGAAAGAGAAAATTATAGAAAAGATCGAGGGCGCAATCATTTTTCCCATGGAAGGATCGGCAACTTCGCCGGACGCGCAAAAAACTACAGCCACAAAAAAAAGTATTACCACTGAAAGCAATAACGATATTGAGCAGACATCACCGGAGAATCCTGCAACATATTTAGGAGATGCGAAGAAAGACGTTCACAAAGATGTTATCGCCCAAGTGGGTGAAGCAGCAGTTAATGAGATTCTAGAAACTAGCAATTTATTGCCGTCTGTTGAAAATATATCCGAAAACATCGCGAAAGAAGTATCTTCTGACGATTCAATTGTCGGAGGAAGTGAAGGCTCATTAAATCGCAACACTGCAGATATTCAGCTTAATGTAAAATCAATTGTACATAGTAATGTAAATAAAAATGATAATTTAGTACATGATGCTAGCGATGGCGATGTTCCTATAGAGTCTAACGAATTCTCTAACGGTGTAAGATCGCATAACATCGTCGGTCCAGAACAATCTGCAGATTCTAGTCAGAAAAACACGATCTCAGAAGAGAAATGGGCTTCCGACGAATATCTCCGTAATCGAAATTTAGCAGGCATCAAAGAAGATTTTGGACACAAGAATAGTGGGTATTGATTCGTCAATAATATAAAAGTTTCTATTACAGATACTCTGTGCGTGTGCGCGCGCGCATTAATATTTATATTAATTATGTCTAAACTTAAATGCTTTATATGTTTAGTTGAAAATCAATTTGATAATTCTGTAAAAGGCAAAGATAAAACCTTGCTTGAACATGGTGATAACATAAACAGTAAAGACAAGATTTTGTCTAAAGACGAAGATATGAAAGAGAATAGTGAGCAGGTGCAAGAATTAGAATCGACCTTTGCTTCGCATCAAAGAGGAGGTATATTAATTATTCTGCTATATATACATATATATATATATATATATATATATAT